AGCCTTCCAACCTTCTAAATATTCCTTTATATGTGGTTCAGAGTTCTGGGACCATCCCCTGAGCCTGCTTGGTCAGGTATTCTGTGTTGCTGCTGGCGGAGCTCCTTACTGCACTTCTACCTGATCCACCATCTTGTTTGTTTCTGCCATGGTGGCATTTTTATGTAGTAGAATTTTGTATGGCAATAGAAAAGAACCAACTATTATTAAATGCACTAATAACAACAACAACAAAAATCTCTGCTGTCAAGTCACTTCCAACTCATAGCAACTGTATAGGACATAATAGAACTGCTCCCTGGGGTTTCTGTGACTGTAAATCTTTAAAAGAACAGACAGCTTTATCTTTCTCTGGCAGAGTGACTGGTGGATTTGAATCACCAACTTTAAGGTTAGTAACCCAGCCACTTAACCCACAGCACAACTAGAGCTCTGATGCATCAATGGGATACATTTTATAGACTAATGAAATAGTCAGTCATTTGTTGTTAGGTGCCATTGAGTCGGCTCTGACTCATAGTGACCCTATGCACAACAGAATGAAACACTGCCTGGTCCTGGGCTAACCTCACAATCATTGATAGGCTTGAGCCTATTGATGCTGCCACTTTGCCATTCCATCTTGCTGGGGTCTTCCTCTTTTTCTCTGGCCCTCTTACCAAACATGATATCTTTCTCCAGTGACTGGTCCCTCCTGACAATATGTATATCATTATACATATGTCATGTGGTGGTGGTTATGTGCTATGGATTCGGTTCTGACTCATAGCGACCTGTACAGGGTTTCCAAGGCTGTATATCTTTATGGGAGCAGAACATCTCATCTTTCTCCCATGGAACAGCTGGTAGTTTCAAACTGCTGTCCTTGCGGTTCACAGCCCGATTAGTAACCACTATGCTACCAGAGCTCCTTACATATGTCATAGACATGCACATATATGAAAGTAAAAAAGGCTAAAGTAATTTAACATACACATCTGTTAGTTTGTCATACTGTGGTGGTTTCCATGTTACTGTAATGCTGGGAACTATGCCACTGGTGTTTCAAATACCAGTAGTGTCACCCATATTGGGCAGATTTCAATGGAGCTTCCAGACTAGGAACAAACTAAGAAGGAATAGGTAGCCACTCCTGAAGGACTAGCTACTGGAAAGCAGTGAAACATTGTTTGATATTGTTTCAGAAAATGAGCCCCTTATGTTGGAAGACACTCAGAATATGTCTGAGGACCAGTTGTCTCCTCAAAGTAGAGTCTACCTTAATGACATGGATGGAGCAGAGCTTTTGAGACCTTCATTTGCTTAAGGGACATGACTCAAAATGAGAAGAAGACACTACAAATATTCATTAATAATCAGAATACATATGTTCATATGAAGTATGAATCTAGGAAAACTGGCTGTCATTAAAAATTAAATAGAATGCAAAAAGAACAATATTATAGGCATCAATGGGCTGAAATGAATAGGTGTTGGCCAATTTAAGTCAGAAAACCATATGGTTTACTATACTGGGAATGACCAAGAGAGTTCAAGAAGAATGGTGTTGCATTCATCATCAAACATAACATTAAAGATCTATCTAGAAATACAATGCTCTGACAGGATAATATCTATACACTTACATGCAAGACAGACCAGACCAAAGTAATTATTATTCAAATTTATGCACCAACCATCAATGCCAATGATAAAGAAATTGAATTCTACTAATAGGTGGAATACAAATTGAAATCTTTCAACTAACTGATGTAATACTGGAGACACTCACTCATCTATGTCAAGAAATTTGGAAGACAGCTACCTGGCCAACTAATTAGAAGAGATTCATATTTGTGCCCATTCCAAAGAGAAGTGACCCAGTGGAATATGGAAATCATCAGGCAATATCATAATATCACACACAAGTAAAAATTTGCTAAAGATAACTAAAACATGGCTGCAACAGTATATTGGCAGAGAACTGCCAGCAGTTCAAGCCAGATTTAGATGAGGATGTGGAACAAAGGATATCATTGCTGATGTCAGATAGATCTTGTCTATTAGCAGAGAATATCAGAGAGATGTTTACCAGTACTTTATTGACTATGCAAAGGCTTTCAACTGTGTGGATCATGTCAAGCTATGGACAACATTTCGGAGAATGAGTATTCCGGAACACTTAATTGTGCCGACTCATAGCAACCCTCTAAAGGGTTTCCAAGGAGCAACTGGTGAGTTTAAACTACCAACTTTGCGGTTCAGACTGATTTTATGGTCTGGTGCCTTATCCTGAAATGTCACACCAGGACTCCATTCACTCTTCATGCTTAGTAAATAATTGGAGAAGCTGGATTTTATGAAGAAGAGCATGGCATCAGGATTGGAGGAAGACTCATTAATGACCTACGATATGCAGGTGATACCACCTTCACTTCAGTGAAGCAGACTTAAATACTTCCTGTTGAAGATCGAAGACAGCAACTTTTGATATGGGTTGCACCTCAATGCAAAGAAAACAAAAATCCTCATCAATGGACCAAGAAATAACATCATGATAAATGGAAAGAACTTGAAGTTCTTAAAGATATCATTTTGTTTGGATCCACCATCAACACTCATGGAAGCAGCAGCCAAGAAATCAAATGACATATTGCATTATGCAAATCTGCTGCACAAGACCTCTTTAAAATGTTGAAGAGCAAAGGTGTCAGTTTAAGGACTAAAGTGCACCTGACTTAAGACATGGTGTTTTGAATAGTCTCATATTCATATAAAAGTTGGGCAGTGAATAAGGAAGACCGTAGAAGAATTGATGCAATTGGGTTGTGATGTTGGAGAAAAAGATAAAATTTCCATGAACTTCCAGAAAACAAACAAATTTATTTTACAAGAAGTACAACCAGAATGCTCCTTAGAAGCCAGGATGACTAGACTTCAGTCCTGAATCATAAAGACCCTGTATAGGGTTTTTGAGGAGCACCTGGTGGGGACATATTATCAGGAGGGATAAGTCCCTGGAGAAAGATATAATGCTTGGTAAAGTGGAGAGGCAGCAAAAAGGAGGGAGACCCTAACTGGATGGATTGGCACAGTGGCAGCAGAAATGGGCTCAAGCGTAGCAGTGATTGTGAGGATGGTGCAGGACCAGGCGGTGTTGCTTTCTGTTGTGCATAAGGCCACTGTGGGTGGCAACAATTTGACAGACTTAACAACAACAACCAACATCTTCGGTCTGAAGATGATTAAACACACAATCAAGACTCATTGGTAATCACTAGTGATTGGAATGCAAACGTTGGAAACAAAGAGGAGAGATTAGTAATAGTAAAATAAGGTCTTGGTGATAGAAATGACATTGGAGATTGCATGATAGTATTTTGCAAGACCAATGACTTCATTGCAATTACCTTTTCTCAACAACATAAACAATGACAGTACAAATGGTCCTCACCAGATAGAATGCACAGGAATCAAATTGGGCATGTGTTTCATAACCTATTCCACTTGTTTATCAGAGTGTAACGTACAGAGTGAAGTACACTAACTGTAGCTGGACAGCTCAGTGAACATTGCATACACATATCCCCATGTAGTCACTGTCCATCAAATAGAGACCACTTCTGGACCCCCATGTACAGAATACTGGCAACCTGAAAAGATAACCTTTATGCTGGATCTCAACCTCTTACCATAAATTAATTAGTTGTTATTCTTGTTAAGTGCTATCAAGTCAGCGTGAACGCATAGTGACCCTACCAACCACAGAATGAAACACGGCCTGGTCCTATGCCATCTTCACAGTTGTTATGTTTGAGCACATT